ACCCGTGGTTGGAGATATGGCCGCCATTGGGGTCTGAGAACTTCTGCAGAAAAAAATCAAAGACAAGAATGACATGGAGACGAAAGTAGGAAGAAGGAGAAGAGGGGGAAAATAGAAACATACCTTAACAAAAAAATTCCTTCAGAACGAGTGAAGAAAAATTGGAGGAAGCGGTGAAAACCCTTGTAGCGTGGGAAACTGCCAAAAAATAAGGGGGTTAAAAAGACACTTTTGGGAGGTGAAAAGACTCTGTTACCCTTGAAAAACCCTAACCTTGAAAAAAGTGTCAACTCCGGCGGAACGAAACAAGCGAACGGTGGCGAACTCTACTGAGCGGTGAACTCCGACGAACTATTAAGAGTTGATTTTAAAAAAACTTAAAATCACTTAGATTGATTTTTAACTTAATTGTAATTTTGGAAAATCAATTATACTTAAAATTTTCGGTCAAAATCAATCGTTATATCATCACCTCGATCTCAAACACACCGTAAGTGTATTCTAACTCAGTAACTTAAGTTGAACACTGTTTTAGTTCTTCTTCATTACGGTAAGTGAAATCATCTTCTTTCGTTCTTTTCTTTGTTTTTCTTCTTCTTATCATGTTGAATTTTCTGGTTTGTTGTTTGATTTTGGCATGTTAGGGCATCCATTTGCCTCATCTGTAAAGTTAGTCCCCAAACCATGCTCGTCTCTCACCCAAAGCCTAGGATCAAATCAAAGGCGATAAAAAAACCTCGCATGGCCTTGTCCTTTCAGAGTCTTCATCGAAGAGCCTCGCGAACGACGTTGAGCATTCGACGGAGGTTGAAGCAAACCCACTGGCGGGCTCGCTAAACCCACTTGCTGTGCCTCAGACCTCTGGTTCTGAAAAGGAGATTGAGAAAGAAGAGGTCGTTCTGCCACCCACCACTACCCCAACCTCCATCCGTAATCGCTGAAGCTGACCCATCACCACATAAAACCTTCAAGTCTTTCCAGAAGCCGCCCCAACCACCTTTTTCGGTTGGACCTGCTTCGAGGACAAGAAACACTAAGCGTCCCACCGCATCTGCTGCTGTGTTACCATCGAGAAGTCTAAATCCTCTCACTCCTTCGTTGGAACGAAATCCTTGCATGTGTCATCTGCAGTTGCTTCACCCAAACCCACTTCACCCAATCTCCAAAGGGAAGCGCCCGGCTACCGCTTCAAACCCAGAAAAATCACTTCCTCCTGGCCGTCGAAAGCCTAAGCTGGTCGCCCCTCAGGACGCTACATTCATGCGTTTCCAGTCCCATTCAGCGATGGACACATACGAGAAGCTAAGGAAGAAGGACTTTTTCTTAGAAAATGGTTTCGAATTAAACCCCTTGCCTACCTTCATATAGGAAGTGATTCAACGGAGCCACTATGAGTATTTTTGTGCACCACCAGGACCCATCATCTCACGGCTAGTCAAAGAGTTCTATGCCAACCTCATTCCAGGCAATCTGGGCCGCACGACGGTGAGAGAAGTGACAGTCATCTGGACCCCAGAGCGCATCAACAAAGCACTTCACCTGCCGTCCATTCCCAACGCTGAAGAAAATAAGATGTTGGATCAATCGTCATCCACATAGCTGGACCATGCTCTATCGTGGCATACCTTGGAGCCTCTTTGAGTGTCGTTCCTCACGGGGCCAATTCCCTCCATTCCAACTTTATCACCCCGGAGGCGAATGTCTGGTTATACTTCTTGAAGAGTAGCATATTGCCCACAACGCATGATTCATCCATCACAAAGGACAGGGTGATTCTCTTGGCTTGTATGATGGAGGGCAAACCGTTGGATTTGGGGCAGCTTATTTTCCACGAGATCGCGCAGTATGCCACCAAACGCCTGAGCAAACTCTTTTTCCCTAACCTGATTTCAAAGTTGTGTATGCAGGCAAACGTTCCGGTGGTCCAAGATGAGGAGGTCACAACAGAGAAAAGAGTGTTGGATATGCCGTTGTTGGAGAGGCTAATGACTAACGAGACCAGGACCAGAAGTGTTGTGCCTATAGGTGCCATCAATGAAATGATGGCTCATCAAGCTCACATCTCCAATGAGATTGGAGTTGAAGGACATGGTTGCTGCTTTAACGCTGCAGCTTGCTACCAAAGATGCAGAGCTGAAAGGTCTTCTCGACAAGCTCACCAACACTAATGCTCCAGGCACATCCACACAGAATCGCACACTAGAATCCTTGTTAGAGCATAGCTCCAATAAAACTGCCGAGGATGGCTAGTTGGAGAGCTCTAAAGGGAATGGGAGTGGCGGCTGCTCCTTCTGACCTGCTGGGAACTCCTCTATCTTCTTTCCGGAAACCATTTGACAATGAACCAATCTTCACAAATCAAGACTCTACATTTTGCTTTTACATTCTTTTCTTTTTTTTTAGTAGTTAATCTTTCAATTCCTGTCTTTAGTTATATTTCATGCTTATCATTCTTGTTTTCTTCTGTTCTAGGATAGATTTTTAGTTTCAGTTCTCCATCCTCTGTTATGAGAGAAAAATGAATCAAATTATGTTGGTCAATCTCTATTGTGTCCTGCTTCTTACTCTAACTCTGATTTCTTAAGTAGTGTTGTTGTCTTGGCATAGGCAGTTTGGTGTTTGTTCTGAGCTATAGTTTTCGTTTGGGAGTGGCTGAGTTAAGCTCTGCCTTAGCCTAATTTTTAGTACGAAGGACCCAACAACATCCTGTTAGTATGATTCCAAAATAGAGGCTGCTATGATTTGTGTTTCAATAGCTTCCTATCCAATGTCGCTCGCTACTTTAGTATTACCATCGTAGGACATATTCTGTATATTAGCACCCTTGTCATGTCTTTTATACCAAGCCTTACATGTAGAATTTACGACAAATACCATTGTCTCCACTACTTTTTCTTAGTTCTAAGTTTAGGAGTATGTGGAAAACCTCACTACATAGCTTCTAGCCGCATTGAGGACAATGCTATATCTTAATTTTGGGCCGGGTGCGAGCAATTATTGTAATATTGAGAGGTCAAGCTTATAATGTATAACTATGAATCTTTCTGACCTTGTAATTCAGCCCCAAAATATATATATACATATATATAATTTATATATTAAGAGGCTGCAAGGTTAGGAAGGGCTAGTAGCCCATAGTTGAAGTTAGGATGGTAATAAAAGGGTTAGGGAGTAGGCTAGTGAAATGAAGTTTGAGAAGTGCAACTCGAGGCAATGTCAATGTTTTTTAGAAGAAAAATAGAATGATGTTGGAGCCGGAGGAAGAGAATCTGCTAGAGCGGAGCTTGAGCTAGAAACTCTTTTCCGGAGGCTATTAGCTGGGGCTAGATCCTAAACTTAGTATGTGCGAGTAGTAACTGCGAAAGTAGAGATCAGCCCTTGTAGTAAGAAGCAGGTATAACAGAGGAAGGCATTTTCATAATTCTGGGATGCTAGTAGAATCTTGCTTGAGGACAAGCAAGGTTTCAAGTTTAAGGGTGTGATAGCTCTCAAATAGAGAGTGAATTATGGGTCAAGCTATTTATGCAAGGATATTCACAACAATGTATTTGAGATTGCAGCTCGAACCCGGCCTCCGGACCCCTCTGAATACTTGGGCGGACCTGCACAAAAAGGTGAGCACTCCGACGATCAAGTCAGTATAGGTCGGATTCCCAGTTTAGTTCGAGGTCAGAAATCATCGTACCTGATCGTGGAGTGAGGTCCTCTACTTATGGGTGGTAGTCCCGCTAATCTCGCGACGGTTACACCCGGTAATCTCGGGACCGTCGGTTACACCCGGTAATCTCGGGACCGACGGTTACACCCGATAATCACGCCGCTGACAGTAGCT